CGATATCCACGTCTGTGAGACATACACACATACACAAGACGATTTATGGATGTCCGTCTTTCTGTCTGTCACGATAGAGTTCACATTTATTTAATCTATTGCTTCGAAATTTAACCCAAAGCGTTATGGTGTATGCAGGATGATTGGTGCTGAAAATGGGCAATGTTGTCCCCCGTTTAGGTATAGCTACCATATGGCCAAAACCATTCAGTCCCACTAATTGGTATAGCCCCTATACAACTTAAATTCCCGATTTTTTAATTGTTTCATAGTGGTTGTGTTCCCACTAAGTATCCGAAATATCATATTTCAACCAATTCGATTAGCAACTGCCCTCTGAGAATGCTCGACTGTCGATTCGGCTGAAAAATGATTCTATTATACTTTTTCCCCCTCTTTGATTGAAGCATGAATTCCAAATTACTGCAATGTTCCTCATCATTCCTGACTCTTGTTCCTCCTTCCCAACCCTACATGGTTTTCTTAAATTCAAATGGACTAATGAATTTTCCTTAAAATCTAAAATTAGAAATTATTGATTACTCGTTTTGAAATTAAACATTTCTGCGATTTTTAAGAAAATTTTAATTTGCTCCTTTGATATAGTAATTTATTATGTTATTCTTATCCTGATCACTTTGAATTGATTTAAATAGGACATTTTTCATTTATCTCCCTCCCTCTCTCCTTGACACAAAAATTAAGTTGACTTTTCAAAATCACAAAAAAGAAATGATTTCCTGTTGTCGCTATTTTTTCCTCCTTCTGAGCTTCATTTACCTAATTAATGCTTTCTATGTTTTATTACCTGATTTGTTTGTAAATTAATTTATTGTGCCCAACTGCCATACCCATGCAGAAGTGGGAGACAGGCATAACAGAGCAGAAAATACCGCCCGAGTGAGGCAAAATGATAAATTAATTTTGTAATGTGGGCTACTGTCCCCAGCAAACATGCTGTTTGCTAGGTATTGGAATACATGTATGTGTGTATATTTGCGTGGGTGGATTTTTGGCAAACCCAGCAGGAACTACTTACCGATCATGATGTATATCGCCAAAAAAAATATCTCGGTACTCTGCTCCAGGAGAAAGGAAAAACTTTTTCATTTATGTGAAATGGTGCGTGATTTGAGGTGCCAACCAATGCGCCACAGTCTGGCCAATAGTGTGGAGTAGTGCTAAATGTAATTACCGTTACTACTATTTAAAATCCACCCTCCCCTCATATCTCCTCACCAAAACATTTGGGGTGTTTCCTCCCCTCCCCGGTTGGATGGCATTACAAAGTTGTTTCTCATTTCTTTCTCCTGGCATAAATAAAATGAAAATTAATGATTTGCTCCTTTGTCCAGCGGAGGGCAGAATCGTAATTAATTATTTTGATGGAGTTTGAAATGTTTCTGGGTTTTTTACGCGCCACAAAAAATTATTTATGATGATGATGGTGATTTCTTTTCTATGAAGCAAGGCACGTTTGTGCTCTGCAAAAAAATGGCTAACAAACAATTGCAAAATTTCCTTTGGAGAAAATACATTTTCTTTCCTACTTTTCTTAATGAATATTTTAAAATGTTATTCAATAAATCTAAATGTATTCCTCTGTAGAAAAATTGAAAAAGGATTTCCAGAACTCCACCTTACTCTCGTTTCATTGTAAACTAAAACCAAAAAAGGGTCTGTGTTACGATTTAATCTTGAAATCAATTTGCTCAAGTGTTATTCCTAATAAAAAATTATTTTAAGTGTCACACGCAACCGTCCCCAAAAAAAAGCCCCGCCTCTTTCCATGGACTAAAGTCCATTATGAAATTACAGCAAAAAGGACAAATCCTTCGTGGAATTAATGACAAAATAAAACAACCCAAAACTAAGCAACAACGACAACAAAAAGCAGACATAACACCAGAGGACAGGACACACGCACGCAAACACCCAGACAACTTTACAGGCCATCAAAGAGGGATTAGAGAGTTTTTCGTCAACGGATATTTGTTGATGTCTGTAATTGTAGCATTAAAACCAAAATTTGTTTGTGGCCAGGATATTGTTGGACAATTCAAGGATGTAACCTTTTTGTTCAGCCAACAACAAAATAAAATACAAAATATATACCAGAATTAAATTTAAATGAAATAAAAATTTCATAAAAAATATTTAAAAATTTTGGTTGATTGGACCGATTTTGTGAGGGGAAATTACGCTACAGAACACTGGATGTATCATGAAGTGTAAAAAGGCACGGATTCGATTGCATTATTGCCCAATAATTCGTAAAGTTCGTGATGAAAACTTACTGCCTAAATAACTAACCTAGCATTTGTACCCACCTAATAAGAGACATTCTTGCCATATTAAAAAGGGCGGGTACCTCCCGATTTTCTGTATTTAGAAGGTATCTGCCACAATTTCCAACCAAATTTACTGAAACTTTACATTTGGGGTAAATCTGTTCTCTCCATGCAAAAAATGTTTGTTTCTGGTCTACTACTTGGTATAGCCCCCATATAACGGAACCTTCCAATTTTTTATGGTTTCAAAGTGGTTTTTCCCTGCCAGTATCCAAAATAAAATTTCAACCAATTTGTTTAAGGACTGAAAAATGTATCTGCTATACTTTAAATGTTTAAAACAGGGATAATTGAATATCAACCCTTCGAGCTGTTCAATTGAGGAGTTTTCAAAAATTATTCTTTTATATGAGTACAAGCGACGTAGCCAGAAATGTCTAATTTATTTTTCTCTGTAAACTGTAAAAAATGTAAGAAAATGAAGCATTTCGGAGAGGAGCATTCCCCAGGTAATCCACATACATACCTGATGAGGATTAAACTTAAACATGGACTCATATGGTTTATCATTGGAGTTGTACAGCCTTCTAAAAAAACATATCTCAACTTGCGCTCCATAGTATTGTAAAGCTCTTGAAGAACCTAAGCCCTCGGACAGGACTGAACCCAATGTTTAGAGAGCCAACAATTTCAACCGAATTATTATGAGATTTCAATATTAATAAAAAAAACTGCAACAAAGTCAAACGCCATAATTTTTACTTTTTTTTCTAAATTTTATTGAATGAAAGCAAAAAATGTCGGAAATAGCATCCAATTTTAGAATAAGTTTAGATTTGTTCGAATTGGTAACCTTTGGTACGAATTATGGCCTTCAAACGGGCAATGAAACCGTCACACGCTGCCCGAATGTTGTTCTGCGGTATTTTGACCCATTCCCGGCGAAGCGCTTGCTTGAGGTGATCGACACTTTGGTATTTTTTAGTGCCAACCTTGCTTTCCAAAATTCTCACGACACAACAGTCCAACGGATTGGTATCCGGAGATTTTGGTGGCCATTGTGCACTTGAAATGAAGCGAGGAACCTAATTTTGTAACCATTCTTGGGTGGCGCGTGCTGAGTGACATGGTACTGAGTCCTGTTGGAATGTCCAAGGTCTGCGGTCAAAATGTTTGCGTGCCCAAGGCTTTAATACACCCTCCAGAATATTTTCGCGATAATATTTGGCATTTATTCTGATGCCACGGTCGATTAATACGAACGGAGAGCGAACCAGTTTTTTTATCTCACCCTGTATATCTTTACCCTCTTTAGAAACATTTCATTAAAGATCTCGTATAAGGTCTTCATTCTGTTGCATTCCAATTTGTTCGGAAAAAGGCAAGTTTCTTTTGCCAAAGCAAATCCGTAAAAATATGATTCCTTAAAAGGGACTTTCTGCAGATAAAAGTCTTTATTTAAAAATTCTGCTTCTCATCCATAGGACACCCCTTTAAAAGTTCTCATATTATTTAAAACTCCACTCCATCATAGTGATACCCGCTTAAATGTCCCTTCTTGAAAAACCCTCTCCTCCTAGAATACCTTATAAATGATTGATCTTGAACAGCTATCTGCATATAGAGGTCTCTATCTCACAGATCAACCATAAGATGCCTGTGGAAAGAATTAAATTGAAATGCACTTAAATCTTTCTTAAAACCCCTACCAAAATTAGCGTTTTTTAAAGGGATTTTATCTTCCGGACTGTCCGCGAAAAAAATCCTTTGCAGTTTTGGAGCTTTGGCACCTAAATAAGCCGTATTTTTGGATGCCAAAGTCCGATTTGGTGGATTCCTAAACAGAAAAATAGCCAACTGCCCAGAGCTACCAGAACCTTTAATCTTGATTATAAAATGCAGCCTCCGTGATTCAAGGGTTATCATTACCGCTTTGCAAACACTTTTTCAAAGCAATTCGGCAATGAAAAAACTTTCTATTGTTCCACTTTGTCAAATTAGAGTTTAAATTTCCGAACATGAATGAGTCACGAAATTAGTATATCTTTATATTATTCCAACTTCAAAGATTGAATTCGTTTTTATCAGCGAAAATTCCACACAGTTCCAAAAAAAAAAGGAAAAAAAAAACATCAACATATCTTGGCCTACATCAATGTTTTCATTGACTTCAATTATTTACACTATCAAAAAATGACTGGGGGGAAAATTGTTTGCAAATCGCTATTTTGCCATGCATTTACCCCATACAGTCAAAAAAGAGTTCAGTCGTAAATTCTTATGGATTTTCCCACCACAACAGAAAGGCAGTATTTCGATGTTTCCCCCCTCTATTTGAGAGAGGATAAAACTAAAAGAAACATTCATATGTAATGCTGACAACACACACATATGTAGTATATTACTCATGAACTCTCGCCTTCCAACCGACCATCAACACACATTCAAATGCCATAACAATTGGTTTTATGCTGCACATTGTATATTAACATTTAATGATGAATTCTGCCATAAAAAAGCAGGACTTCAAATGGCTTGACTGGCTGGCGAGTAATAATAATCAGTCTCTCCTCACTAAGTATTCACTAAAATGGCCATCTGAATATTTGCCACCCCCAACTGCTGCTGCTACAGACTTTTTATAATCATTAAACTGTAATCACCGGCCATATATGTGGTAGCTTTTGGCCCAGAATGAATATGACTTACCATAAACAGAAAAATCAGCCATAAACATCGAAATGTAGACATTTTGGTTCCACTAATGATGGCGATGATGTTGTGACTACTGCTGTTGTTACTTCTGCTGCTGCTGTTGCTGATGTTTGACTTTTTGTTGAGTTGTAAGAAAGTCCAAGTCGCAGGACTTTTACTGTAAAGAAGTGATGAAAAGAATGTTATATAAAAGGGGTGTTTATCAAGTTTTATTAAATCATAAATTTGAAAATATTCAAAATAGTGTTAATATTTTTATTTTACACTTCAAAAGGACATAAAATTAAACATAACTTTTTGACATAATTTTTTCTTTAAAAAATAATTTATAACTTTCTAGATAAGGGAAATATCACAGCTAATATTTACATATCAAAATGAAAATGGGAAAATACGGCTATAAACGGATCTTTCAATATCTTTCACCATTTTGAGAGTAATAATTTTCAGAGTAGTTACGGAAATCGGGTATTCAAAAGACATATTTTGTTCTGTTTCTAATAAATTTGTAATATAAAAACCGTTGGAAATGGCGTTTAAAATTATCAACATACAAAACTTCAAAATCGGAAGGTACCCTTTTATGGGGATTATATCAAATCTTGGACCTAGGTAGATAGTTATATGCAAGAACACAAACTTCCAATTTGCATCAAACTAGGCCTAAAACACCTCCAATCAGGCGGTGGATATTCCAAAACCTGGACCTGTATGAACCAAAAATTCTACTGACCAAAAATGCATCTGAGTAAAATTTGAACACACTACTTCATTTCCTTCGGAAGCGTGTGAAATTTCCATAGACTGCCAGATAAACAAATGGACCTACATTGCTAAATCGACATAAACTTGTATGCTGATCAAGAGTATGCATACTTTTTGGGGTCCAAAAAGGATTTTTCGAGGTGTTATAAGCGGATTTAACAAGCATTATATACCTTCCATATTACCTCTATTATTACGAGGGAATATAAATTATTAGAGAATACCCTATTCTAGTCAAACTCCTAACTTCTTTGCAGTTGGGTTGGAAATAGCGTCCAATAAAAATAAAAGTAAAATTACAATTTTTTTCACTCCTAGAAGGCCAGATGGTTTAGAGATGAAAGGCCAAACAACTTCTCATATTAGGCCACAATATCTTTTGGTACGATATAATAAGTTTTCATAAAAGAAGACACAGAAGATCAAAAGATCTTCTTATAGGAAATCAGAGAACTTTAGAAAAAAAACATAGGTCTTTTCAAAAAATGAGCACCTCATCCTCTCAAAGGCAACCAAAAGATCTTCGAGAAGTCTACGAAAGCTTCTCACAAAATACGAGAGTTGTTCTTATAGATGTGAAAATAGAGTTTCTCAAAGACTAGGTCAATCATAGAGTATCAGTTGGTATTTTCATAGAAAACTGAAAGAACTTGTCATATAAGAAGTTCAGAGGTGAAATGTATGCATATAAATGATTTCCTAAAGAAGTCCTGAAGATAGAGTTCCTCAAAGAGAGTCTCTACTTACCAAAGGCATAAAGGAATTCTCAAAAAGCATGAGAAGGTATTTTCTTAAAAGTGCCGTTTGTCAATCATGGGCTATAAATTGGACTTTTCACAGAAAATCCAAAGGACTCCTCATAGAAGAAGGTCTGTGGTCTAAGTTCTGTTTAAACAAGCCTTTTTAAAGAAGACCCGCAGGCCATCCCATTGGAACTTGTACAGAAGACTCAAAAGTCTTTTTATAGAAGACCTAAAGATCAGCTCAAAGAAGACCCCATGGTCTTCTTATAAATGACTCTGACGTATTCTCAAGGATGATCCGAAGGTCTTCTCGTTGGAAGTTTTACAGAAGACTCAAATATCTCTATATAGAAGACCTAAATATTTTCTCAAAGATGACCCAAAGGTCTTCTCATAAAAGGCCTGAATCATTACTCATAGAAGCAGGAGGCCAGAAGCTTTTCGGATAAAAACGCCTTAGGTCTTCTCAAAGAAGACACGGCGGTCTACTGTTAAAAGTCCAAAAGGCCTTCTCATAAACGAACCATCGGTTTTTAAATGGTTGTTTCCATTGAAGACACGATTGTCTTCTCAAAAGTGGTCAGAGAGTTTTCAGATAAAAAACAAAGGTCTGAAGACCCAATATTCCTCTAACAAAAGTACCAGTGGTGTTCTCATAGAAGACCCAAAAGTCTTCTCATAAATGATCCGAATTTATTCCCATAGAAGATATGAAAGTCTTGCCTTCCATGACCCGAATAATTTCACATAAAAGATCGAAGTCACGAAGAAGATGAGAAGGTTTTCTGATAGAGAAAGCGAAGTCATCCTCATTTAAAATGAGAAGATCGTCTCACAGTAGACGAGAAGGTCTTCTCATAGAAGTCTATAAGGCTTTCTCATAGATAACGGGAGCGTTTTCTCTTAGAAGACAAGATGGCCATAACATGGAAGACAAGAAGGTCTACTCTTAAGTGGCCACAAGGTCTTCTCATTAAAGACGAGAATTCCTTCAAATAGAGGACGGTCAGTGTTTCTCATAGAGGACCAGATTTTTCATGGAAGCCAAAAGAAACTAGAGGTCATCTCATAGAAGAGGGGTTATTTAAAAAAAAAAAAAAACAACTTGGTTTCTCATAAGCCAAATATGAATCTTGTCGTAGAAGACGAGAAGGTCTTCCCAATAGAGAAAGAAAAGGTATCTTCATTTAGAAAGAGAAGACCGTCTTATAGAAAACGAGAGTGTTTTCTCTTAGAAGAGGAGATGGTCATCTCATAGAAGACGAGAAAGTCTTTTCTTAGGTGGCCACAAGATTTTCTCTTAGAAGACGAGAACGTCTAGTGGACTACATTTTCTCATAGAAGTCGAGAAGGTCATCCGATAAAAGACGAGAATGTCTTCTAATAGAGAAAGAGAAGTCATCCTCTTCTAAAAAAATAGTATCAGAGAAGGTCTTCCCATAGAAGTTTCTGGGGGTTTCTCTTAGAAGGCGAGAAGGTCTCCACGTAAATTACCATTACGTCTTCTCATCAAAGACAAGAAGGCCTTCAAATAGTGGCCGAGCAAAGTTTCTCATAGAGGACCAAATTTTTTCATTGAAGCCGAGAGGATCATCATATAGAAGAAGAGGAGGTCATCTCATAGAAGGCCGATTAGTTTACACATGGAATTCCGGCTGGTCGTCTCATAAGAAACTGCTTGGTTTGTCATAAGCCAAACATGAATATAGCCGAGAGAGAAGGTCTTCTCGTGGAGAATGAAAATGCATTCTCATTGAAAAAGTGGAGATCGACTCATAGAAAACGAGAGTGTTTTCTCTTAGAAGAGGAGATGGTCATCTCATAGAGAACGACGGTCGACGAAAGCCGGTCTTTTCTTTGATGGCCACAAGGTCTTCTCTTAGAAGACGAGAACGTCTTCTCATGGAATACGAGCAGAGTTTCTCATAGCGGACCAGATTTTTTCATGGAAGCCGAAAAGAAGATCTTATAGAAGAAAAGGAGGTCATCCCACAGAAGACCGGTTAGTTTACTCATGGATTTCCGGTTGGTTTTCCCATTAAAGAAAAACTAGTTGATTTCTCATATGCCAAACATGAATCTTGTCGTAGAAGTAGAGAAGATCTTCTCATAGAGAAAGTAAAGGCATTCTCATTGAAAAAGATATGATCGACAAATAGCAAATGAGAGTGTTTTCTATTAGAAGACGAGACTCTTCTCTTATATGTCCACAAGGTATTCTCTTAGAATACCTCATGGAATACGAGCAGTGGTTTTCATAGGGGACTTGATTTTCTCATAGATGTCAAGAAGGTCATCTCGTACAAGAGTCAAGTCATATCATTGAAGACCGATTAGTCCAATCATAGAATTCCTGTTGGTCTTCTCTTAAAAATCTACCTGGTTTCTTAGAAGCTAAACATGAATATTATCGTAGAAGATCGGTTGCTTGTTCCATAGATGACCATAGATCTTCTTTTCTGAAAGCTCAAATGAACCTCTCATAGAATACTCAAAGGCCTTCCCATAATAAGTCCAAAATTGTTCTTAAGAATCAAGCATTCTAAGGAAAACCCAAGGTTTTTTTAACAAATACACGAATAGAATATCAATTGGCCTTATTATAGAATATCATTTGGACTTTTCATAAAAAATCATAAATATCTTTGCAAAGGGGACAGGATGGTTTTCTTATAGAACACTAAAAGTCTTTTGTCAAAGACCACATAATGTCTACATAGTGGGCCAATAAGTATACCATACATGTTTCCTCATCCATCAAACAGTTCTAACTTCATATGTGGTATAGAAGATAGAAAAAAGAGAGTATCTCCTTTTATTGGCTACCCTCTATTAGCTTCAAGTTACCACAAGTTTTCATTCTTGTTCTTGGTAGAATAGCCTAGTTGTTTTACAACTCTGACCACCACTTTTAACTTTATCATGGTCTCTTTCATAATGTTGCCCTTGAACTATCCAACAAAGCGACCTACTATCTTTGTTTTCAAACAAAAGACGCAGGCGCCACAATAATTTTACAAACGAAACAAAGGCGCCATAATCAAATTAAATTTAATGTAAACTAAATTCCAAACACACATTTACATCGTTAAATTTGGAACGTGAGCGAGCACTGGTTGGGAAAGGATTTTAATCTCCTCGTGTTTTTTATGAGAGTAATTCAGATTTGATTGGGCCTCTGACTGGCAATTTAAGATAATTTAACTCATTTTTAAATGCAAGGGAACATGTTCGGTTTGTTCGAAACATAAATAAATAAATGTAACAACATTAAGAGATAAAAATCCAATAAAGGGACCGAGGACATTAAACACCACACACACACACATGGAAAGGGGTTTGAAAATGAATCTGTGATTTTTCATTCAAAACAAAAGTCATTTGCCTTTCTCTTCTCTGTCTCTCAAACTAATGTGATTTTTACAACTCCCAGGAGACATTAGCATTTTTATTTGTTAGTGAGTTTGCCACATGCGGTTGGTGGTCAGTTATAGATACGAATAAGTGACTATTTTAGATTATCGGAGAGAGTAAGGAATTTATGACTCATAAATTTGTACACAAGCCTGATACTCAGTGATAGCGGAAAACTGATACTATTTCAGTTGAACAAAATTTACATGGCTACTTTGATGTGGAGCTGAAATGT